TGCTTTTGGGAAACAGACCGTAATATTAAGATCAGTCGTACGATCGTTTTTACGAACTTTTTAGGCTTACGAAGCTTTTGGGAAACGCAGCCATTATTTATTTTATTGGCATATATAACAGTTATCTGTATAAATTATAAAACACTATGACAAGGTAATGTTTAATTTATTTTATATATATATATATATATATATATTTATTTATTTATTACATTTTATATTATCACACATTGATCGGCATTGTCTATAATGTCTAAATTCTAAATCAAAATACATATCTGATGTGACAATATATAATTAGCATCAAACAAACAATATAATTAATATTCTCAAAGATTAAAGATTAAACGGAAAAAAATAAAAATGATTGTACAACCATCCATTAGGTAGCGATATGCACTAAGCATGTAAACGACCACTGAACAAAAGAAGAAAAAAGAAACAGCATGGCACGCTTTTTCTTAGCGTCCGTTTCCATAGCGACTCGTCGATTCGTCGCTCTGTTGAGAATGTCTTGAGTCTTAACCAGGAACATACTCTGAGTTGAATGAACTTACTCCCGGATGAGTTTTTGGAACCACATACCTCGAGTAAGCAAGGTTTTGGGTTAATCAACCGAAAGTTCAGGATTTAGCTGACGGTAAGTTAACCGTGCTTTCTGGAATACACCCCAGGTGTGTTTAATTTGGGTTGAATCTAAACTCTGCAGGACTCTGGCCCTCCAGCAATTGAGTTTGACACCCCTGGACTATTATATGGCCTAGTTAAACCAGGGGTGTCCTGGGGGGGTATTCCAGAAAGCAGGTTATGTGACATACCCAGGTATGTTTAAGGGTAAGTAAGCGGATAAACTCAGCTTTCGGTTTCAAAAACGGAGGTTACTCTCAGGGTAAGTAGCCATAGCAACTTAATATTAAGTTATATTATATCAACCTATTATATATGATTACAATATAGTTATCAAATGTACTAATATATATATATATAATATATATATATATATTAGATAGATAGATAGAGAGAGAGAGATAGAGTTCAATTCAAATTCAATTTATTTGTATAGCACTTTTCACAATACACATTGTTTCAAAGCAGCTTTACAGAACATGCATGTGTCTACATTACAATTTAGAGTGATCTGTTATCAGAAGTGAATGTGTCCAAGTAATGTTCATTTCACAAATGAACAGTTCAAGGTAATAGAATCATACAGTTAGCTAACATGAATTAATTTCAGGCAGAAGCTCATTATTACAGGTGTGATCATAATGATTACAATATAGAGAAAATTTGGATGTTTCAAATGTCGATTCAAGTTGGCGTCAGAGTTGTATGATATGTTAATTTTATAAGTAATATATAAGGTAATATTATATTATTCTAATATGTTATTATATTTATTGTTCTATATAATATATATATATATGTTACGGAAGAGGTCTGACACAATAGGTTAGTTTATATACAAAAGCGTTTATTAGGTCACAGTGAGTACTGGTGTCGGGTCCGGAGGAAGTGATAGTGAGGGAAAGGTCCGTGAGAGAGTGCAAAGGATATGGAGAGTGGAGTAATCCGA